GACAGGGTGAAAGGTCTCAGTTAGGTGCTAGAGATTCAGAGAAGGTGCCTGCCTGTTGGCTCTGAGTGGGGAAGGCTCGCCAAAGGAGCAATGGCCTCTGCCAGCTCTTCTGTCTGGGAGAAAGCTGCCTCTCCACCTCTTACCCCAACTTCAGGTGGGTTGGTTCCTCCCCAGATGTCCCAGGTTCCTTTTAAGCTGCAGCCCAGTGCTGGAGCTCAGAGGTAGCATGTCTGAGTGAGACCATGCGCCGGCCCTTTAAGTGGAAAGTCTAGGACTCCCGCACCCTCCGTGACCCTCAGGAACAGTTCCCGCTGGTTTTCACAGGCAGAAGTTGTCGGGATTTCTCTTCCCAGCCCTGGGGCCCTGGGCTGGGGGCCTGCTGTGGGGCTGGGACCCCTCACTCCTCCAGGAAATCTCCACTGCCGAGATATCCCTCCTGGGCTAAACTGTGTCTCCTGGGATTCAGCCCTGATCTGCCCACATCTCCCCCCCCACACACAGGTCTGGATGGTTTTTCAGTTCCCTGGTTGTAGGGCTTCTGTTCAGCCACATTTCAGGAGGTTCTGAGTGATGGTGGTTCTGTATTTTAATTGTAATTTTGATGTGGTTGTGGGAGGTGTTGGGTATAGCTGTTACCCATGCCGCCATCTTGTTTCCTTCCCCTCGCAAAGATCTACGGTGATTACTGATGTATACTTATTTAATGCCATATTTTCTTTTTATATCGATGTTCCTTTTTCTCAGTATCTTTCTTTTTCTTAATGCAGTCCTTTTAGGATTTCTTAAAATGCTGGTTTGTTGAACTCCTTTAACCTTCTTTTGTCTGGGAAGCTCTTTTTTCATTTTCAATTTTAAATGATAACCTTGCACTATAAAGCAGTCTTGGTTGCATGTTCTTGCTTTTCATTACTTTGAGAACTTCATGCCACTCCTTTCTGGCCTGAAGTGTCCCTGTTGAGAAGTCGGCTGTCAGCCTTTTAAGGGTTCCCTTGTAGATCACTGTTTGTCTTTCTCTTACAGCCCGTAATATTGTCTTTTTCCTTAACATTTGTCTTTTTAATTATGTGTCTTGGTTTGTGTCTCTTAGGGTTCCTCTTGCTTGGAACCCTCTGTGCTTCCTGGACTTCTGTGGCTTTCTCCTTCACAAGTTGGGGAAGTTTTCTGTCATTATTTTCTCCACCAAGTTCTCTATCCCTTCCTGATTTTCCTCCCCCTTTCTCACCCCTATGATGTGAATTTTGTTTCACTTCATGGTGTCCCAAAACTCCCTTTGACTGTCCCCATGCTTTTTAAATGTTTTTTTCTTTTTGCTGCTCTGATTGAGCGGGTTTTTTCCTACCTTACCTTGTAAGTTACTTATCGTGTCCTCTGCTTCATTGAGCCTGGTTTTAATTCCTTCCAGCTTATTCTTGGTATCAGATATAGTATTTTTCATTTCTGCCTGGTTCGTATTTATTGTATCGAGCTCTTTTTTTCATGCCTTCACTAAGTTCCTGGACATTCCCACTAAGTGTCTTGTTGTTCTCATTAATTTCCTTGAGCATCTTTATAACCATTTCTCTGAAGTCTATTTCTGATAACTTGCCTAAGTCCATCTCATCAAGATCTTTTTCTGATGATTTTTTATTTTCTTCAGTTTCGTGGTGGTTTCTTTGTCTCGTCATTTTAGTGGGTCTTAGTGTTTTTGTTTGTATTTTAGATATATTTGCTGTCTCCCAGTCTTGTGGGGTGGGATTTGTAATATATGTATAGTTGAGCCCAAAGGTGTGTTTTTCTTATACTTCTGAGCTAATTATTCTAAGCGTTTCCTTTTTTGGGTTTCCCTTATGTGGGTTCTTTGGGCTCTCCTGTTGTGATTGGGTCCCGATTGTTGATCCATTTTTAGGAACACTCTTCTCTCATGTTTGCTGTGTGGCTCATGCCCAACCACGTTGTATGAGCTGTTATACATATGCTGGCAAGGCAAAACAAAACACAGCTAAACTGCCAGGAAACAAGCAGGATCTTACAAAATTTTCTGACAATTACAATGAAATCATCCCAGGAGAAACTAGAATTGGGAGAGCTAAGTGAGAACACAGATGCTAAAGCTAATAAAATAAATAAATAATAAAGAAATAAAGAAAATTAGAGAAAGGATATTTTTGCTTATAGTGAAGAATAATTAAAAATAATGATAAAATAAAGTAGTAAAATATAGAGAGCTACTTGGAGTTAAAAGGGACAGTGAAAAGATTCTGAAAGAAGGGCGAGAAAAAAATTAAGAGTAGAGCGTAGTAATAGGAAAGTAGTTGAAAAAGAAAAAATAATAAGCAAAAAGACAGGAGGACAGAATAAAGGGGGAGAAAAAGAAAATTAAGGAAGAAAATAAATAAAAATGTATGCCAGTGGAAAAAGAGGAGAGAGAGAGATAAAGCAAGGGCAGGAAAGGAGTGTAGTAAGAGATATGGGGAAACAATAGAGAAAAGCAGTAAACTTAATACTTATAATGATAATATCTGTCATTAAGCAGAGAATATCAAGAAAATCTCAATAGTAGGACAGAAAAAAATGGCAAAAAATAAGCAAAGCAAATAAATTTGTAAAAAATTAATTAAAAATTAAAAAATATAAACTAAAAAATTTAAAAAGCTTTTTTTTTTTTTTTTTAAACAGTTGAGTTTGTCTGGGCAGCTTATGTTGACTGAGGCTCACAGTTTTGTGTGCAGATTTTGGTTCTTTTTGGAGGTACTTATGTATCAGCCAATGTCAGGAGCTGTGTAGGTTTTGGCTCTGGTGTCCTTATTTGCTGAACTGAGGATCTCTGGACCACCTCCACTTGTCAGCTATTTTGCCTCCCCTTTGTGGTTGTCTTGTCTTACTCCAGAGTCTTCTGAGGAGTCTTTAGGATGCAGGCCAGCTAGTGTAGCTTAGGGTATTGCTCCCCTTATTTAGAGGTTTTGTGTCAGGCAATCACTGTGGGGAAGTTAGTCTCTGTTTCAAAGCCAACTCCTCAGCCTCTACCCTATTCTCCCATTCTAATTCCCCATACAATAAATAGTCTGCTGCAGTTTTAGATTTAACTTAGATTGTTGCCATTGCTGTATGGGCAGTTTCAGCAGCCTCGGCTCAGTGGGTTTGATTAAGAAAAAGTTCTAGTAAGCATTTTCCCTGCTCAGCCCCCAGAAGGGGTTTTAAGCTTTTCCTCCAGTTCCCAAACAGTAATTCCTGAGAGGCTTATTCTTGTATTGTTCGATGAACTCTTCTCCCTCCCAGCTCAGGTCTGTACCCTGCAGGGGATATCTGGGGCTTCAGTGAGCTGAACCAGCCCATTTCCTGTTGGGAGCGTTGCTCCTAGCCTGTAGGAGAGGTAGGCATGTTCTGCCCCTCCTTTCCCAGTTCTGGTTGGCTGACCACACAGGGCGCGTATTTCAAACTCTCCGTTATGCAGACACACATCCCAGCATTTGCTGGTCGGTCTCCCCAATGCAAGCCAGGAAGGTAGGCGCTTGTACATCAATCAAAAACTCAAACACACACAATACAACACACAAGCACAGAATCCGCCAGCAAAGTCACTAAGCAGGAGTGATCACAAAGTCATCCTCATGCAGCTTCCCTGCACCGCTGATCTTAGTAAAGCTGGGGTGGCTCCATGTGTGCCACCATAGCACCCCTCAGGGATAGTCAGAAATCCCAGAATCTCCCTAAGGAGCGCTCAGGTGGCTGACGGAAAACTCACTCTCACAGGTAGCTATAGTCCATCTATGGTGGTAGGAGGTCTCTCTTCCCTTTCCTTGTGCCACATAGATTAAATGCTTTCTGGGGCTCAGCACAAAGCCTTACAGGAAAGCAGAGGTTCCCTGTACATGGCTGCTCAGTGCAGACCTCTGTTCTCTTTGTACTCTGGTGCCACATACTTCGGGACTGCCTTTCCTATGGTCAGCACCCTGTGCTTACGATACCAGTTGCAGCCGCCTTGAGAAGCTTTGTTTCCTAGGAAGGCACGGCCCCCTCCTCAGAGGCAGTGTTCTCCTGGCTCCCTCTGCCCACCCTGCATGGGCTCTCCTTCCGTTCTCCTCTGCTCTGGGTTTTACATCCCAACTTTTGGATGCCAGTCCGCACTCCAAAGGGGAGAGAGCTTTGCAGCCTCTAACCTCCGGCCTTGGATCCTAGCACAGGCTTCAGGAGGGACTCCCCCTTTCTACAGAACCCCTCTCTTACCAGACTCTGTGATGTTTCTTCAGTGCTCCTAGTCAAAATATGTCCACTCAGGTATATTTCTCTTGTTTTTCAAAGCTGGTTACACAGTATTTTAGTGGTAAATCTAGTCCGTGGCTGGAGCAAGGGCACTCTGCTTCTTGTCAGAATGCCACCATCTTACATCTCCCCTTTAATACTCCTTCTGCCTCCTTTTTCTATTCTGCTTTTTGAATATTTCAATGTCCTTTATTTTTACAATTTTAAATTTAGTCTACAGAGTGTCTAAACCTTTTCAAAGGAAGATTGTATTAAAAGTTTAATTAAATATAAGAATAACAATTCATTTTGATAGTTTTAGGATCTTTAGTTTTCTTTAAGATTTCATTCTCTTAATTTCTGGATTTTTTACAGCGTATGTTTTCTTATAAAGTAAATGAGTGTGTTATTTGAAAAATGATTCAGGGCATATGGGTTTTAACAGCAAAGGATTTGTTTTTAGGCTTTTTCTATGTTATATTAAGAGTGGTTATGTTTTTGTTTTTTTAGAGTGTGGTGTTATCTGACAAATTAAAAAATATATGTGCTCTATTTTGCCATAACTTCTAAGAACCTTAGAGATAAATTTAGGGTTCATTGCTCATCCATATATTTTTTCGTCTTCAACTTGTAATTGTTTTTAGATCATTAATTGTCCTTTTTATTCTTTTTGTAAGTAGGGCCAAAAATGTAAATATGCATATACATATGTAAATATATATACACGTGCACACATAAATGCAGTCCAACTATGTAAACATGATGTTTTAAATTTTTTTTAGCCAACAAATGGAATCTTCTTGAGCATGCTTCTAATTGTTTTGCCATTGGAATCCATGGCTTATGGGCTCTTCCATGAATTGGGTAATTGTTTAGGAGGAACATCTGTTGGATATGCTATTGTGATTCCTACCAACTTCTGCAGGTACAGTAATCTAGAATGTAGTAATTAGTAATAACTACTTTAAACATTTTCTTAATATTTGTATGGTGGTAAATATAAAATATAGCTAATTTTTTCAAATCTATAGTATTTAAAAAATATAATACTGTTACCTTTTTATTCCAGATGTTTAAAAGCCTACTCTTGGTAAAATTATAATCTTCAGGATTTTTTTTTTCCATTTTATTTATTTTTATTTTTTATTAAATTTATTGGGGTGACAGTGGTTAATATGTTTAATTTTCTTATAAATGTGATTAGGTTATATTTTATCTAGAAATCAGGAAATGTGAATGAATATTCTAAGGAAACATAATACTTTCTTTAAAAAGGGATAGCTTATTTAAGAAAATGTCCTATAAACAACATGGTAAAATATAATGTACGCCTCACCCGAGTGTCCTAAGTCCTAGTTCTGTATTACCTTAGGCAAATCATAACTTCTCTGAACTTCAGTGTCTTTACCAAAATGCAAATGACAGTACCTATTCTGCCCATCTCAAAGGAATATTATGAAGCGCTAATGAGAGCACGAATATAAAAATACTCTGCCTACTGGAGACGTCATATAAATACCAGGAATTTAAAAGATTGTGTATGTGTGTATGTAAATATATATGTGTGTATGTATACAAATATATATAATTTTTGTAGTTTTAATCTAATTTCAAATATTTGACATAAAAACCCAAAATTGACTATTTGTATTAAGTATTTTGCTCCATGTTAAAGGCTGAATAAGAAATTGAGGATTCTCATGAGAAGTAAAATAAATAGATTTGGAAAGGTCCCATAAAGTAAGATGTGACAACTTGCAGAAAGAATATGTGGAAAAAGTAATTTACATGGTTAGATTTTTATTCCATTGTAATTTTTGTTTATGCATTTCTTCTTCTTTTACTTTTTTTAGTGATTGTTAAATAACAATGGGAAAAAAAAGTCTTAATCTTATAATGAAAACTAAAGTATTATTTGAGTAGTTATTGATAATACATGAAACAAAATGTAAAGTTTTCAAAATTCCTGGTAGAAATTCCTTTTCTGGATAGGATTGATGATTTTTTCCCCCCCTCAATATTGAGATATTTTCATTTTGCTACTTGCAGACCTTGGTTTATCATCTTTACTAAAGTATTATTTTACAGTTGTTCCAGGAACAGATCTTGGTCTTCAGTTAGTGTTTAGGAGGATAGGGCAGTGGACCTAAATTTTAATAATTGTTTTCATTTATTTACTTATTTTTATTTTTAAAAAATTTATCTTTATTGTTTAAAGTATTGCAGATATCCCCCCTTTTTTTCCCCATTAACCCCTCCACTCCGAATCCACCCCCTTTCTAGGCCTTCACCACACTATTGTCTGTGTCAGTGGGTTATGCATATATGCATGTAAGTTTTTTGCTTCATCTCTTCTCACCCACTTCCCCACCTTCGACTTCCCACTGAGATTCATCTATCTGCTCCATGCTTCTATGTCCCTGGATCTATTTTGTTCCTCAATCTATTTTGTTTATTAGATTCCACATATGATGAGTGAGATCATGTAAAACTGAATCAGGAAGAATCAGAAAACCTGAATAGGCTAGTAACATCTGATGAAATCCAAGCAGTAATAAAAAAAAACTCCCAGCAAACAAAAGCCCTGGTCTGGATGGCTTCACAGGGGAGCTTTCTAATTCTTTTAAGTTGTAGGGTTAGATAGTTTACTAAATAATTTTTCTTGCTTTTTGAGGTAGACCTTCAGTGCTATGAACTTCCCTCTTAGGACTGCTCTCGCTGTGTCCCATAGACTTTATTGTGTGTTCATTTTCATTTGTTTCCAGGAATTTTTTGATTTCTTTCTTGATCTTACTGGTAATCCATTCATTGCTTAATAACATGCTATTTAGCCTCCATGTGTTTGAATGTTTTTGACTGTTTTTACTCTAGTTGATTACTAATTTTATGTCCTTGTGATCTGAGATGGTTGATAGGATTTCACTCTTCTTGAACTTGTAGAAACTTGTTTTGTGTCCTAACATGTGGTCTGTCTTAGAGAATGACCCATGTGCACTTGAGAGGAATGTATATTCTGCAGCTTTGTGTTTAAATGTTCTGTAAATATCAGTCAAATCCATCTGATCTAGTGTGTCATTTAGAGTCATTGTTTCTGTGTTGACTTTTTGTCTGGAAGATCTATATAGTGAAGTCAGTGGGATTGTATTGCTGTCAGTCTCTTCCTTAAAGTCTTTAAGGTTATTATTGATAGGTCTTTATTTCTTGCCATTTTAATTCTTTATGCTTATCTTTCTCTCTCTTATTATTACAGCAGTCCCTTTAACATTTCCTGCAATGCTGATTTGGTGGTGATAAATTCCTTTACTCTTTTTTTATCTGGTAAGCTCTTTATTTCACCATCTATTTTGAATGATAACCTTGCTGGATAGAGTAGTCTTCGTTTCACATCCTTGTTTTGCATTACCTTGAATACCATGCCATTGCCTTCTGGCCTGTAGAGTTTCTGATGAGGAGTCAGCTGACAGCCGTATGGGAGCTCCCTTGTAGGTGACAGATTGCTTTTCTCTCGCTGCCTTTAAGATTCTCTCTTTGTCTTGAATTTTTGGTATTTTAATTATGATGTATTTCAGTGTGGGCTTCTTTGGATTCTTCTTGCTTGGGAATTCCTGTGCCTCCTAATCTTGAGTGACTTTTTCCTTGACCAGCTTAGGAACGTTTTCTGCCATTATTTTTTCAAACAAGTTCCCTAACTCTTGCTTACTATGGTCCTAATATTGTTATGTTTCATGTTGTCCCACAGCTCCTTTAGAATGTCCTCCTGTTTTTTTAATTGTTTTTTCTTTTTGGATCTCTGATTGATTTTTTCCTACCCTGTCTTCTAATTCACTGATCTGATCCTCAGCTTCCTCTAATCTGCTGTTTATTCCTTCCAATGTATTTTTTATTTCTGCTCTGTCATTCTTAGTTTCCTTTATAGTTTCCATTTCTTTTTTCATGCTGCTGAGCGTCCTGATAATCAGTATTCTGAATTCTATATCTGATAGATTGCTTATCTCTTTTCATTTAGCTTTTTTCTGGAGACTTCTCTTCTTCTTTCATTTGGGGCTTTTTTCTTTGTCTCTCCGTTTTGGTTACCTGTTTGGATTTGTTTCTATGTATTAGGTAGGCCTGCTAGGACTCCCAGTCTTTTTGGAGGGTCTCTGGTGCAAGCCGATGTCAAATGCAGTTTGTGACTGGCCCTGAGTACCGTTTGGAGCTCTCAACAACCCTAGGCTTGAGGTCTCCTCTGCTGGGGGTGGTGCATTTGGACAAGACCAGGATGCACACCAAAGTCTGCTTTTCCAAGGCCCGGGTTCAGAGGCAGTTCAGATAGACTTAAAGCACTCTGAGGCCTGTCTCTCCCTACAGGCTGATTAATCTTACTCTCTTAATGAGCCTCAGGCTGTAGAAATTCCACAGGGTGGGGCAGCTCGTTGTTATCATTCTCTTAACAGGCCTCAAGCTGTAGAAACTCCTTTGGGTAAGCCAAGAGGTTTTCCAGCAGTGCAATTTCTTCCCCCCCCTCCCCGCCAGGCAAATGCAATAAGTTGTCTGCCTGGGATAGATGCCCTTTGCAGTATGGGGGAATGACTAAGCACAGGAATCCAGAGGGTTGCCTTCTAAGCTCTATCTGCAGAGCCCACAACCCTAGGTTCTCCTCACAGTGCTCCAGTCCATTCTGTCCTCCTCCCTCTGCTGGAGGCCAAGGTGAGTGGTTGCACAAGAAACTTTGTGCCTTGGCTCTTTAAGAGTGTGCCTGCATTTCCAGCTGTCTCTTTCTGGCAGACAGAAACCCGGCTGCTTTTCACAGCCAGATGTCATGTGGGCACCTTTCTCAGTTCTGGTGCTCGTGGCCGGGAAGCCCCACCTGGGGTTTAAGCCCCAGTTTCCTCAGTGGGAACCCCCACATCTGCGATATCCCTCTGGACCTTCAACTGCTGCCTGTGGGCACCCAGCCAGCCCTCTCACGCCTCTACACTTCATTCCATTCTCTATGGGGGTCTTCACTTTTCCTCCTTGGTTATGAGGGTGCTCTGCAGCTCATCTTCAGTTTCGGTTGATTATTCAGGATGGTTTTTCTGTATTTTAGTTGTAATTCCAGTTTGGTCCCTGGAGTGTCAGTGTAGCTTCCACTCAGTCCACTGCCATCTTTCTCGATATTAATAATTGTTTTTAAATGTCACTAATAGCCAATGTCTTCTACAATTCATGTACTTTAGGTTAGTAAAACTTGAACACAACTTTGTAAATACTCATTTTCAATATAGAAATTAAATAAACATATAATTTAAAATATTGCTTTCATACTTGATTAATATTTTTCCTCAAGAATGGAAAGTTTTTATTATAGTCCCCACCCATGTTCTTGAAACACATTTGGGTAAAATTAGTATAAGTTTGCTTTTAAAATGTCTTGTCCAAGACCAATCATTTGGTAGGAAGATATGAATAAAGAACAAAGACTGTAGTCATGTCTACATGTGGAGATATTATTCTCCCACCTTTCAGTTTTGTTATTGCTTTATTATTAAGAAATAAAATTTTTAGAAAGTAGGCTTTGACTTTCAAAGCTTGGTTTTTTGTTTTTTTTTAATTGATTTGAGAGAGAGAAAGAAATATCAATGATGAGAGAGAGTCATTGACTGGCTGCCTCCTACACACCCCTTGCTGGGGATCAAGCCCACAACCTGGGCATGTGCCCTGACTGGAATTGAACCGTGATCTCCTGGATCATAGGTCAGTGCTCAACCACTGCGCCAAGCCTGCTGGGCCAAAGCTTAGTTTTTAGCACCAGGAATTTTAGAAAAGATGGTATTTTTAAAAATCCTGCCATCTAGTTAGCAGCAACTATTATGATTCTTAGGTAATTAATTATAAATGAAGGATAAAAATATGATATAGAATGAATGCTTCTTAAACGCTAAAATCACCTTTTTTCTCCTTCTTCAGTACTGATGGTCAGCCAACACTTCTTCCACCAGAACATGTACAGGAGTTGAACTTGAGGTCTACTGGCATGCTCAATGCTATCCAAAGATTTTTTGCGTATCATATGATTGAAACCTATGGATGTGACTATTCCACAAGTGGACTTTCTTTTGATACTCTACATTCCAAACTGAAAGCTTTTCTTGAACTTCGGACTGTGGATGGACCTAGACACGATACATATGTTTTGTATTACAGTGGGCACACCCATGGCACAGGAGAGTGGGCTCTTGCAGGTAAAGTCACCTCTTGCAATTTCACTCTTGTGAAAATACACCTAGAGTGGAAATCTATCCTTCACAAGGAAATGTTAAATTTTCAGGATTATCGATTTTCTACGTCACAGTTTACCAATCATTTTTTCTTTTTTCTAGCATACCTGTATAGCATAATTTTAGTAATCTCCAAAGGTTTTGAGAATTATGTCTCATATTTATTGGAAGAAAAATATCTGTTTGAGTTGAGACTTACAGTCAGTTTCCCTTTAAAGTATTTTCAGAATTATTAAATACAGTAACACTTTTCAGAAGCTAATTAACTCATTTGACTAGTACTTTTAAGTCTCTAAATGTTATGGATGCTGACTTCAGTAGTCTCTCACATGTACTGTTTTATATATGTTAGAAAACTCAATGGGGGACATCTATAATACCTTCAACAATAAAGATTAAACCTGTTCAAGAAAAAATTTTTAATAGCAGGTTATGTGATATGGTGGGAAAAGCACTTAGGTCAGTAGACCTTGGTTTTTGTCCTAATTTGCCACAATAATGTCATTTTAGGCAAGTTACCTAACTTATTTTGGCTTTGATTCTCTCACTTGTAAAATGAAAGGGTGATATTAAATCTCTCTGCCAAGGGACAAATGAGATCTCTCTATATTATATGTAAATTTGTTTGTTGTTCTCACCAACTAGAATAGATACCCTGTAAGTTAAGGGCTTTGTTTTATGAATTATTTGCTTAGCACCTAGAACAGAGACTGGCACATAATAGGGGATCCCTAAATAATTGGTAGATGGATAAAATAATTGAATGAATCAGGACAAAAAAGAGTTAATTTTCTTACTTTAGATTAGAAGTAGTTCTTTTAGGTATAATTATATCCTGCTTTTTCATAAAATATTTTACATTTTTACCAAGGACCCATACAAAAAATAAAATAGTCATAAAATGTAAATAGAAACAGATATTCAGATCAAAGAACAATATAAACAAAAGTATCACAGAAGGACAGAGGCAGAGCTGCCAATACACGAACTCCAGAAGGAAGGAAACAAACTCAATGTTAAAGTGCAGATGATTTTAAATCACAGTCTCATTAATTTCATGCCAGATTTGTAACCAAGGTTTTATCATAAAGAAAAAATATTTTTGTAATTTTTTGTTTCTGTAAATAAATATTGAACAATTAAATGGCTGTCTAGGAGTAATGGCGAACTAACATTTATTTATTGGGCACATTTGAAGCACAGCTGCTGTTTGCTACTTCATATACATTAGATTTCATCTTCACTTGAAATCCTTTGAGCTGAATACTCTATTTTTCAAAGGATGAAATGAAAGCTAAAAGTGGTTACATAACTTATTTATTGCTTATACTGCTGATGAGTAAGGAACCATGATTCAAGCTCAGATCTGCCTGACTCCTAAAGTATGTTTTTCCCCATTGTTCCAGCTTGCCGTCAAAGGCAAAAGACATGAAGGTAGAGAAATGGCATATTCTGGTTAAGCAGACATTTTTATTAGCATGGCTTATCCATTTTCAAAACATTAGAATGTAGAAGGTAGCATTAAAACTATTCGAATATAATTTATAAAATTATTTTCCTGACTTTAACTTTTTAATAACTCAAAATAGAAAACAACTTTTTAGTCTTTATGGCTACTCTAATTCTAGGGAAAGGGTAGCTCTGTGTACTTCAGAGCACAAGAGAAAAATCTGTCAATTAAAAGATCGTTAGAGAAATAGAATTTCAGATCTAAAAACAGAGATTGTTTGTTGAAAACTTAATGCAATGCTGCTGATAAGAAAATATTTCCTAATTAAATGTGGGGAAAAAAAAGAATATTTTGCTGATCATGCATAAATCTTTAGTTATTTTTAAGTGTTATAAGAAAGTAATCTTAAAAGTAAGCTTGTCGTGTCATTTAGGTGAAGGATTTATTAATATAAATATTTTTCTTAAATCTTAAAGTTTATTACAAGTATTTCTTAAAAGATTGCTTTAGAAATAAATTCTAGATGTTTAGTTTACTAATATTTAGATCAGCTTTTCTTTTCCTATGAAAAGTAAATAGACTCTAAGAGATGATGATAGATAGATGATAGATAGATAGATGATAGATAGATAGATGATAGATAGATAGATAGATAGATAGATAGATAGATAGATGATAGATAGATAGATAGATGATAGATAGATAGATATAAATTTAAACATTTATTCAGTATCAGGAATCATTTGTGAAGACTTAAAAATGCTAAAGTAGGGGTTTATTGTAAATAAATGTCTAGCAGGTACATTCTGGAACATTATTTTTTTTGAAGTACGTCACCAGTAACTTGACCATTGTGGAATTCCTCTTGTTAGCCAAGATTTGTTCCTATATGTTTAACTTTCTATGTCTGAGACTCTATTTTCAAAAGGAAAAAAACAACGGAGAGACATAGCAGCCCTCCTCATGAGGGCTAGATTTTGTCTCATGATTCACCAGCTGTATACTCTTACGGCCTGAGGCATCTGGCCCACTTGCTGGTAACCAGGTTGAACCAGGCCCGGAGGCTGAGCCCTCTTTTCAGACCATTCCTGCCCTAGCTTGTCCAGCCACAGCCCTCAAAGGCTGAGTCTGCCTCAGAAATAGTATTGAATACCCCTGCTCTGAAGATGTTTTAATCCATTCTAAACCAAGTGACAAGAAGCTCTAAGCAATGAGAATGTTTTAATAGTTAACCTTTCTAAAAACCTTTAAAACAGGAAACATCGTAACTGGACTTTACTTAAGTTAGCAGTTAAGAGCAGATCCAGAACTAAATATCACTGTGAGAAAGAGAATCTAGATTTGCCCTTTACCCCATACCTTTATTCATAGTACTTCTTAGGGTATGTAGTTGTTTTACATTTATACAGTTTCATAATACAGAACCTGATATATTTTGCCTCTTGGCTTGAGAGTAGAAATATAGGGTGGGGCAAAAAGTAGGTTTGCAGTTGTGAATACGTGAAACACAGAGTTTATTCTTATATTATTACCTATTAGTTACTGTATTATTTCCCATAGGAACAACTATAACCTACTTTTACCCCACCTTGTAAAAGAAAAACATGTAGATAAACTATAAAGTACTTTATCAAAGTTTAAAATGACTGTGGACAGCTAGGGGCCTGGGGTGGGGTGGGAGATGGGTTGAAGGGGGTAAGGGGGGAATAGGGGACATCTGTAATACTCAACAGTAAAATAAAATTTAAAACAATGCAATCTTTTTTTTTTTTTTTTTTAATCTTTATTGATTTCAGGGAGAGGAAAGGAGAGAGAGAGAGAGATAGAAACATCATAATTACTTGAACTGCATGAGATGGCTGCCATCTAAGATAAAAATAAGTAGTCTGTATCTGGGCCAAAAGCCAAATGAATTTTCTCCAATTCATAAGAGAAATCAGAGCAAAACAAAACAAGAGAAGAGAAATAGTTTAAAAGGTTTTAATGCTGCTTTAAGTCTCTCATTGATTTTTTAATTTTTAATCCTCACCCAAGGATATTTTTTCTATTGCTTTTTCAGAGTGTGTGGAATGGGGGGGAGAGAGAGAGAAAAAAAAAAAATTTGATATGCGAGAGACACATTGATTGGTTGCCTCCGGAACACACCCCTACCAGGGCCAGCAATCAAGCCTGCAACCGAGATACGTGTCCTTGGTCAGGATTGAACCCGGCACCCTTCAGTCCAAGGGCCGTCGTTCTAACCACTGAGCCAAATCAGCTAGGGCGCTTATTGCTATTTAAGGAGCGTGTATATAAGAGACAGTGTAGAATGTGCTGAAGAATATTTATTGAAATGAGTTGTAGAAGGCAAGTTAGATAGTGATGTTTTATGGCAGATGGAATTTGTATAACAGCTCCTGTTATCTATGTCATCCTCTGATCTCTAGAGAAATTTAATAGAATTGCCAATAATGAAAAGTTAACATTTCACCGTTTTTGAAATGATGTCTTCAAGAAGTATCTATGAAGCAACAAACAGTAATATGTTGAGATCATGTAATTGAAATAGTGCCTCTGAGATAATATGCATGTGTAAAACCAATTCATGAAACAAGTTTTTCATTGTCAGAGCTAAAGAATAAAAGAAAATTAATTATTCATAAAGAATGTGATAAACCCTGGCTTCAGAGGTCATATTACTAATATAATACAAATTATAAAGGGTTCTTCTCTGGTGGTGTAATTTAAAAAAATTTTTTTTTAATTTCTTGATTTTAAAGAGGAAGGGAGAGAAAGAGAGAAACTTCAATTTGTTGTTCCACTTATTTATGCATTCACTGGTTGATTCTTGTATGTGCCCTGACCAAGGAATCAAACCCTCAACGTTGGCATAGCAGGACGATGCTCTAACCAACTGAGCTACCTGGCTAGGGCTGGTGTTGTCATTTTGATAGTTTAGCAAGGAGGATACTTGCTCTTGGTAGAAATATATATTCTGAAGTTAGATTTTAGATCTTGTGCTAGTAAATTGTAGCATATTAAAACATTTTTCTAATTACAAAAGTGACATACTCAATGTAAAAAAAAAATTGGAAAATATTTTAAAAATAGCAAAACCACCGGAAAACCAAACACCCAGCAATAACCACTGCTGTTATTTTTGTAGTTATACGTCTGTGTCATACTTTTTATCCTAATTTCATAGGTAATTTTCTTGTCATTAAAATTTCTTCATAAATATTATTTTACTGTAAAGTTCTCTCATTAGGTTTTACCATAATTTATTTCCATCCCTCTGGTTGTTTCAGATTTTACACTATTTTAGATAGCAGAAGGAAGAAAGTCTTTATATGTAATTTTTCCCCCCAATATCTGCTCTTTCGTTAGGATAAATATCTAGAATTAGGGTGATTGTATCAGTGTACCATTGAGACAGAGCAAGGACTAGGGTGAGGTGAGGATGGCAGTTGTTTTGGCCAGGATATTTAAAAGGATGCCAAAAATCAAATAATCAAAATAATATTTTATGTAACATATTTAAAAATCAAAGTTAATGCAAAAGAAAGTATCCACAGTGAACCAGATGGAAAGCCTGTTAGCTATAAGACAGGTTTCTAGGTCAAATTTATTTACTTTAGAACTTTCTGAGTAAACTTTTTTATAAATCATTTGTTGTTTTTCATATATAAAACTGATTTAAAATAAATTCATTCTAAACTCATTCTTGGTACGGGGAGGAAGAGTATCTTTTTCATCTAGTAGCTACCTACATAGGAGGATAGGTAACATTATTTTATCAGTGGTGTACAACAGGTTTGGCAAAGTTTTTTTGTAAAGGGCCAGCTGTTTTTGGCTTTATAGGCCATAAGATCCCTGTTGTTGAAACTACTCAGCTCTGCTGCTGTAGTTGAAAATATCCTCAAGTAAGGATTAAAA